ACTCTTAACAGTCCTACACCTCCTAAATAAACCCTTCACGCTACGAGAAATGTACTTCAGTGTCAGAATATTCCGTGTCTTGTAGTCTACACTCCCTCCCCCCCTCAGGCATATAGTATATGTGCTGTAAATTGAACACGACTACTCTATAACCTTTCACGACTGGGTTTCTGTTTGTTCTGTGCCGTCCACTGTAAACCTTATAACATCCCATTATGTTCCCTTGGGATTAGGCATTGTTCAACGAAATCAGGTATGTGTGTATTTTTTATTTTTACTTTTTCGGTGTGTGTGTGAGAGAGAGAGAAATAGAGAGAAAGAATGTCAGACACACACACACATACTCTCTCTCTCTCTCTCTCTTCCCCTCCCTTTCCCCCCTCTCTCCCTCCGTTTCCCCCTCTCTCTCCTTCCCTCCCTCTCTTATCCTCCTTCCCTTCCCCTTCTTCCCTCCCTCCCTATTGCTTCTATTCCTCTACGCTGTCTCCCCGAAAGACTCGACTACAGCAAGAATGAATTATTGAACGGATAATCCCTGTTCTTTGGCATGACGACTCGCCACCCATGATATACAACTCCGCAATTTCAAGTGAGAACGCCTGGGAGGTCATCTATCCAACGTACAAGCGACTACAGTTTTGCTTCTTTAATGATAATCTACAGTTGTAATTACTGTTGTGGGAGACGTTTTTTTTTCCTCCTATCCAGTGATATTGCTTCTATGATGAGGTTTTACTTTATTCCCTGCATTCATAGCGGGGCTTCTCGTTAGAGCTAATTATAGGCTTTGCGCTTGACAAAAGCAATTGCCGTGCTTTTTATAGAATGTACAACTGAGACTGTCAGCTATCGTTAACAAAGGTCTATAAACGGAGCACATTTGCATGAAAAAGTAATTATATTCACTGGTTTTATTATATATATACGACTCTTTTAAAATTAGTGTTATCACCATCATCATTATCGCTGTCATCACTTTTACAATTATCAGTATAGTCACTAGCATGATCACTGTTATTATTATTATTGTCATGACTATAATTATCATTATCATTATTATGATTAGTTATTATCCTCCTTATCATCATCACTAATAGCAAGTTAAATCATCACAAAGTAAGTGCTATATTAAAAAAAAGTTCGAAAATCCGCGAATTGATTCTACGCTACGGAAAATAGTAAGTGAAATCGTCAGGCAAAGCCCGCAGAGTTGTGCACAAACTCCGCAAAATCCCCAATAGAGAATGACACGAGAGGTGAAGATCCTGACACTTTTATACGTCAGTTGCTATCTTTGGAAACTGGCTGACTGCGTGGCCTTAACTTTCTTTGCAATAATCACTATCGTTGCTGTTATTATCGTTATCATCGTTGTTGCTTATAAATGCTTATATGTTGCTTATAAATATAATTTTCTCTTCCATCTTCCATCGTTATTGCTAATATATTTGCAGTTATTTGTACTTTTATTATCCCTATTTATTAGAATTTTTATATCACATTTAGTATTATTTACTATCATCATTATCATTTAATATCCTATTAATTAATGTCCTCAAAATCTACTATTTGGGAATGATTTTTCACGGCAGATGCCCTCATCATTATAATCGCAATTACCAGTAGCGATTTAATCATCACAGAAATTAATGGCCACAATCAGGAGGATCCAACCGAAACACAAATCAAAGCTAATAACAAAAAAAAAAAAAAAAAAAAACTTTTATCTCAGCCATACCCGGTACTTCACTTTCCAACAATATTCACCGGGGGGGTAAATTAATAGCTTTTCCCAATCCCAATGTCATTATATAATCCCTCCGCCAAATCGCCGTTCACGTGAAGCTGATTAGCAGCGGTCGTCTGTCCCCGTCGGTACTAATGTCACGGCAATAATTGTTTTCAGTGCCATCAGCTGCACATAAATAACTGTCGTGTTATCAACTGCCGCATCACGACGTAATTAATGTTGTGGCTAAATGATAATACTCTCTTCCCTTCGTTTCACAACCTTATTCCAAACCTAAAAAAAGGTATACTATTATACATACACATATTCATACACACACTCAAGCGCACGCATACACACACGCGCACGCACACACGCAAGCTCATGTACGCACGCACACACACATTAAAGAGAGAGATTGAGAGATTGAGAGAGATTGAGAGAGAGAGAGAGAGAGAGAGAGAGAGAGAGAGAGAGAGAGAGAGAGAGAGAGAGAGAGAGAGAGAGAGAGAGAGAGAGAGAGATTCAAGAACTTTCTCATCTTTCCTCAACGCTTCCAAGTCGCACCGCGTCTGTTTGCTTAACATTTGCGTCAAATCTACACGGTTATTCAGGTTTAAAATATCCCTTTGGAGGAAAGGGAAGGAAAGGAGTGAGGGAGAGAGGGTCTGGAAGGAGACGGAAAGGAAGGATGGAGAAAGGAAGAGAGAAAGAGAGGGGGAGGAAGGAAGGAAAAAAGGAAGAATGAAAGAAAGAAAGGAAGGAAGGAGAGAGGAAGAGAGAGAGAGGGGGAGGAGGGAAGGAAAAAAGGAAGGAGGGAAGGAAGGAAGGGAGGAGAAAGAAAGAGAGAGAAAGGGGGGAGGAAGGAAGAAAGAAAGAAAAGAAAAAAGAAGGGAAGAAAGAAAAAAAGGAAGGAAGGAAGAGAGGAAGGAAGAAGAGGCCTTAAAGAAGAAAACGA